AGAAAAATTTTCCGAGGTGAGAAAAAAATTAAAACAAAAAGTTTCGAATTTTGAGTATTTTTGGAATTTTTAAAATTCTTTAGTGACCTCTAAAATAGTTAAAACTCTTTAATTACAAAAACATTTTTCCAGGGGAGCTCCAAAAAAGAAAAAATATTGCCACCCAAATATTTACCAAAAGTACTTATTCGTTTGTAGTGTAGTGATCATGTAGTGTTAGTAAATTGCAGTGTTGTTTCAGTGTTGTAGTAAAATGAAATGTTAGTAAAGTGTAGTGCAGTTTCAGTTAAGTGCAGTGTTTAGAAAGTAGTTGCTTATATAACTTTTTTAAACACACCAAGTAATTAGTTAATTAACTAAACTTACTACATAATCCACGCACTTTTCTGATTTTTACAATAAAACACTTTAAAAAGTACGATGGTAAATTATTTTTTATTTTTAGAAGAACATAAATATTTTAAATAAACTAAACAAAAACTCAAAACAAAATAAAAAATTCATAACAAAACCTAAAAAGAACATAAATATTTTAAATAAACTAAACAAAAACTCAAAACAAAATCAAAAATTCATAACAAAACCTAAACTGAAGAAAAAAAATCATTATTCCAACTTTATTACATACTTATTTTTTTTCAATCTTTTTCTAAAAAAAGAACATTATAATTATCTGACTTCTTTAAGCAACAAATTAAATACAAACCTGTGCTTTTATCCTGTCGTATGTATGTTGAAAAGCATACATGAGGTGCTTTTCAACCTCGTCTTTAGTAACATTTTTCTCATTCGATACTACGTCCACTATGGTTTTTGCGAGCAGAGTATTTTTTCTCAACATTTAGCAATTTCAATAAACGAAGTGACTAGGTGCACGTTAGAGTGCCCGCAATTTATTTTTTACGGGCACGCTAGTGACGTCATAATAATAATCCGGTTTTGTTCCCCGAACTTATAATAATTGTTGTCAAGCTAGATAGCTTAGATGGTAGGGCGGTTGCTTGGCATGCGAGAGGTCCCGGGTTCGATCCTCACAAGTTGTCGAAATTTTTTAATTTTTTTATTTCATAAATTTGTTGCTTTTATGTTAAAAAGTGTTCGGTTGGGTTGGGTTTGTTGGTTTGTTTTGTTTATATCGTAACATAGAATCTACTAGAAGTTGTCGAACTCTTTTTATTTTTTTATTTCATAAATTTGTTGTTCCTTTGTTAAAAAGTGTTTTATTTTTATCGTAACATAAATTTGCCCATTTTAGTTGGGTTTTTTGCTCAATGGGGTGGGGGGGGCAATGGGGCGGGGTCGGTTGGGTTGTGTTGTTGAGTTTGGGTCGGTTTGGTTTTATGACGTAACTAACGTGCCCTTAACATGTATACAGGTACAATTTATTATTATATTATTGTTGTGCCGCCAATTTTAAATTAAGCGGCACGGCAGTGATGACGTTTTTTATCTATTACGTCACTAGCGTGCCCGTAAAAAATAAATTGCGGGCACTCTAACGTGCACCTAGTCACGGCGTTCAATAAAATTCCCTGTAATTAACCTAAAAAATACATGTGCTTCGAAGCACATGTATTTTCTAGGTTAAGTAGAGGAATTACAGGGAATTATTAAACAAAAACGAGATAAACAAATAATATGCTGAACAGACACATACCTTTTAAAAGCTTGTTGCTATTATTGCCACAAATAGTATTTTTATAATTATTTTACGGCTTTACTTCGCAAAACAGACGACCACGATGCGACTGACAACAGCAATTGCTGTTAATATGGCGCTTAACTACCCGTCTCGAAATGAGGGCCGGTGAGAGATCAGTAACCAATTCGTTATAAACTCGAGACACATTTGTGACGATTTCGTAACTCGAAAGATATACCCAAAATATTAAGTCACTTTTTCAAGTCGAAAAAACGTGAAGAAATTTAAGCAAAATCTATTTAAAATATTCACGATTACAATATGCCAACGGTTCTGTAAAAAACGACGTGACGGAACCTTGTCTTTACATTGTCACGTTTTTACTATTGCCTTAAAGTGGCGAAATTAATTTTCTTTTTAATAAATTTACGTGTACTTGACGAACTGCTGTCTCGTTTTCGTCACTTGTAATTTTTGGTCGTCACGATGTGTTACTAGGGATTTCGTATTGGCATTAGAGACAAGGGATTGGCATCATTGCTTAGAAAATGAATCTTTTCATTGGCAAGGCAAAACACGAATGTAAAGTGACATTTCTGTGTGAAAAGTGACAGGTCTGTGTGAAAAGAAATTGACAGCATCGTTTGACATTCTTTTTAAAATTTGTATTGTATTTGTAAATATCATTTAAAACACAATTAATTGTGTTTGTATAATAAATTCTAATTTTTAGTGCCTTTATTTAAATTGAGAAGGTAAGTTTATTGATTTTAAGTAACTTATACCTACGTTAAAAATTAAAAGAATAAGATGAAAGATTATAAAAACACAATTAATTGTGTTCTAAATGATATTTATAAATACAATACAAATTTTGAAACGAATTTCAAACGATGCTGTCAATTTCTTTTCACACAGACCTGTCACTTTTCATACAGAAATGTCACTTTACATTCGTGTTTTGCCTTGCCACCCTGCTTAAAATACCCCATATAGAGACCTATACAAAATAATCTATCGGGCGCTACCGGATTCAATATGTGCATTAAATAAAATCTAATATATATAAATTATATTATATAATATATAAATTATACTCGGTATAGCTATAGTTTTTATTTTTTTTTTGTATTTTAACTTAAAATATTTTGATATATAATTTGTTTTTTACCTATATTCTATATGATATATTAAATTTTAATTTAGTTATTATTAATCTCAATTTTAGTGCTCAAAACTAAGGCTCATTGGAGGTAAGGATGTGGTTGATTCCACAAGGCGAATATTATCAAAGATAATATCCAATAGTTTAGCAAAAGAATATAATTGGAAGGGAAAAGGAGCTAAAAGAGCATTTGCCACTCACGTTAATATAATTAACCTCTTATTAGGTAAGGCTTTCTTATACAAGCAATACTTTTTTAATATTAACTTTAAGGTTCACTTAGGACGAATAGCCTAACTAAGAACGCTTCCACAACAGAAGTTGAATCTGTTATTAAAGCTTGGCTACGAACAGCTGGGGACAGGGATGGTGGCAGAAATAGAAGAAGGCAATAAATTCATATTTTAATTTATTACCTAATTTTTTTGCTTTACCAAAAGTAATATATTTTTTATAACTATGTAAACCCACATTTGTGATTATTTTTTTTAATATAAATAAGAATAAAACATTATTTTTTTATAGGTATATAATTATTTAAATAATCCTTTTTTAACTTAAATCTTAGAGACCTTAAAAATTAAATTGACATTTTTTTTATATTTCCTTTAGATCATCAATAATTATTATTGATCTTTAAAGGGGTCAAAAAACAAAGTCATTATCAGCTTGTCGAAGTTAAGCCGCTGATAAATCATCGTCCGCCCGTGTTTTTAGACATCGGCCCGCTGCCAATAGAAGACAAGGGGCAACGGTCGGCCAACGATTAATTGCCGATCATTTTTCGTCGTTTTTAGACATCGGCCCGCCCTTGTCTAGATAATGGATGGATATCCTTACAGACATAATATGTCTGAAAACAACGGCGGGCCGATATTTGAAGACAATGGCAGGCCTATGTCTAAAAACAACGGAGAACGATCGGCGATTGATCGTTGGCCGCCCGTTGTCACTTATCTCCTATTGACAACGGCCCAATATCTAAAAACAACCTCTAGCCGATGTTTGAAATAAACGGCGGGCCGATGTCTAAAAAATGATCGGCAATTGATCGTTGGCCGATCGTTGCCACTTGTCTCCTATTGACGGCGGGCCGACGGTCGGAAAACAATGGCGGGCCGACTACGTCATTATCGGCTTGCCGATGTTTAGCCGCCTTAATGCCGCTGATAAATGTTTGCTGGGTATGTTCCATAATTCATGTTTATGTTCTGTGATTCATGTACTAATAGTTAATTTATAAATAAATATTAATGGTATTGATTATCGCGATAACGCGTTTACGGACGTTGAACCATCGCGAAAATTGATTGTCTTTTGCAGACGTTTGACAACGTTGGGCCGACGCATCGCGAAGTCGGAAATCGATTATCGTTTGCAGACGTTTTACCGCTTGTATTGCCGACGTCGGTACAACGCTGGGTTGACGTCGGAAATGAATTATCGTTTGGCGACGTTAGGCCGACGTCGGAAATTGATTATCTTTTGCAAACGTTTTTTCTCTAGTTTTACCGACGTCGCACAGTGATCCCAAGCGCCCAAAAAGCTGGCAAAAAATCAAATCGTAAGTAAAAATGCTTGAAAGTCAATACCTTTAGTTTTTTTTGGTCTAGGAATCCGAATCCGGTATCGAAATTTTCAAAAACAAAATGGCCGACACAAAATGGCGGACAAATTTTGACAAAAATTGTGCTATCATGGTGAAAATTTATTTACCTGAGTTTTTTGGGTCAAGGAATCCAAATCCGATTTAAAAATGTCCAAAAACAGAATGAACGTCCCAAAATGGCGGACAAATTTTGACAAAAATTGTGCTATCATGGTAAAAATGGGTTATTGGTGTCAAGAAATTTGTCAAAAATGTTTAAAGCAAAATGACCGTCACAAATTTTCCAAAATTTTTATTTACTTTCTTAAATGAGTGACAAATCTCAAAATTTGTCAATTTGTAAAGAAATAGTTAATTCGTCATCTTGAAGCGGTCGTCATATTGGATTTAGAATGATGCGTCAGAGTGGGGCAAAAAGCCTAAAAGGTTGGCATTAAATGTTCCGTTGTTTATTTAGATACGAATTACATGTAGAAAAATATATTGATATGAATACAGGATATTATACACTTTATACAGATGTAATTGGTTTAATATATTTATTAAATTTCTTGTCAAACTTTTGAAAAAAAGACTAAGACGCGTTATACATCCGAATCATCAGAAGTGGCGTCTTCGTCTTCTTCTAAATTGTCAGCATCTTTTTTAGCAACCATTTGCACATTTGGAGCTTTAAACATATTAATTACTGCCGGCGGAAATTGTTCAATTTTCTTTCTTTTTATTTTACGTTTGTTCGTAATAACAGGATCGCTACTAACCAAAAAATGGTGGAATACGTCTTCGTTCGTTTTTGATCTGCTGCACTTTCGTGAGTTATGCTCCCGATATCTTTTAAAATCTTTGTTCCGAGCCTCTTGCGCCTCTTCACTTAATTGTCCGATAGGAAGTAGTGCTGAAGATATTACTTCAGGGCCATGTATTAAATACTTGTGCATGGTTGGTGGCATGTTGTACCAAGGATACTTTTCGACAAAGTACCTGGCAGTGTCGTGAACAAATGGTCGAAATTTGTCAACATCTATTTCGTAACCACTAGCTACCACTATCATGACTGTATGAATTTTTCTTATGAGCTCCACGTCAATTTGCGTTATCTCCGCTGACAATTCTGCGTTCTTGAAAAATCTTCTCGCGGTATTCCCATCATTCGTATTACCAAAGCCTGGTTTGGGCATATCAACAATTAATCCACATCTTTCCCTAAACTCTTTTTGAATGCGGGCTTTGTTTTCAGCAACTATTATTTTATCGCTTCCTCGAGCCTGCCATTTTTTTATTGGCAGTTTATAGGCCATATGCAGAAGGCATTCAAACATGCGAATCCACCCGTGTAATACTGATAAGCCAAATTCCAAGTTTTCAGTTTTTATGTTCCTGCAGATCATTTCTTCAACATTGTTAAAGTTTTTTGATGTTGCGCCACATATAAAGCATTTTTGAGTAGATGTTGTCTCAGTTAGCGCGTTACATACTTTGCCATCCACCATGGCGAAGATTAATTTGTGACTTACTTGCACACTTCTGTCTTGGACTATTGTGGTGGAATTTTGAATATTTTTTATTTCATCGTCGACCCTGCTTTTTTCTGCAATGGAAACTTGTGTAGACTCCTTGACAAATTGAATTTTAAGAGGCCTACAGTACAATGTTGAGGCTGGACTCGGGTTTTGCCAAATAATCTTTGTGTTACATACTAATCGAATAGGAACCATACACGTAATGAATACAGCTGAATCACTGGCTTCAGGGCCATGAAAGGCTTGTTTATAAGAACTGTGACCCGAGGAGCCATCAAATCCCCATTTTGTGTACATACATAATTTATCTAATTCAGCATCTTGTACATGTGTTTCAAATACATTTTTAATAGTTTGAATTAAACGTTGAACAGTGTGATTAAGTAAGTCCTGCAAAGGAACGATCGCTAAGGTTTCTGTGATACTAACATTTTTCGGATAGCATAGCTTTTTGGCTGCTAGGACGACGTTATACGAAGGAAATCTATCTGGAGCACTAGCCCTGACTATTTCGTACTGATGTCTAGATAACTTGCCGCCTATTAAGACAGCAAGGGCGTCTTCTCCGGACATGCATTGTGGTTGTAATTCTAAGGATTTTTTGTAGGCATCTCTATATCTAGAAGCTCGTTCTGGAGATGTGGATGTTATTTCCTGAAGTACTTTTGAAGCCTCTACGTGTCCTTCTGACCTCAAACTCATTTGCGTGGCGTACGTTAGCACAGAAACTGGCGTACAATTTCTCAGTTCCTTAGTTTTTAATCGTTTTGTTCGTTCAGAGCTAGACTCGAAATCCACTTCTGGGCGCCCACGCCTATTTTCGTTTTTTTTTGGAAACGCTATCGAAACATCTAGCCAATCTTTATTTTTACTTTCAAATCTGTCTTTTATTCTGGACGCTTTCGACCAACGCGACTTATATTCTGCCTTGAAACGTGATATTATTTTTCGCACTTCCTTACATTGCCCTTCTTGACAATTTGTTAGTTTTATGATCTCAGCTTCCAAGAAATGAAATTGTTTATTAATTTCATTGCTTCCACAACTTCTCAAGATATGAACGAGCTCTTTCCTAGTTACAAACTTGGCATGAGACATTGTTCCTAGAAAAAACAAACTAGGTAAATGTTAGAAATATAGAAAAAAACTAGCATTTACCTTAGGTACCTTAAACTTGTCACATTATTTAATACTTTTTAGTGGGTAACGCGTGTTTTTAGTTTTTTAAAATATTGTTTAATTTTTACTTTTTGGTCTTAAAATTTAATTACATAGTTACATATTAAAATTGGAGTAAAGTTACGTATTATGCTTGAAAAACTATTTTATTTGATACCAATGTCAAGGAGGTTGTAAAGAAATAGGTAATTCGCCATCTTAAGGTGGACGCGGACTCCATATTGAAATTAGTGTGACGTGACGAATTTTATCGTTTTCTACTTGTCAAACCCTTTTATTTGATACCCATATCAAGAAAGTTATAAAAAATGGTAGTCCGCCATCTTGGTGCGCCACGGCGGCCATTTTGAACAAATTACAGTATATAGTATACTAGATTGTATTGTCAGAACAAAATGTGTACAAAATTTAAGCTCAATCGGTTGGGTTATAGTAGATAAAAATTGCCTTTATAGAATTATTTACGTAGTTAGTTACAAGTAAATCTAATATGTAAGCGGGTAAAAAAACTCATATTATGAAAAAAAGAGCAAATATGTGCAACAAATTTAAATAGTTTCGTAATTAGCAACAAACAGGCTCCGAAAAGCAATAAAAATAAAAGCCGGGTCAAGCTCGGAACATAAGTTAATGTGTCGCTATTTTTAAGAATAACGTAAAAATAAAAGAATTTTACAATATCTTATTTTAACACAAGTTATATAAAAACTATTAGCTTTATTATTAGTTTAAATATAGTAAAATATCGCCACATACCTGAACTTGAGGCCTCCATCACAATATGTGGTGATTAAGTTCAATTAACACTCTATCACTAAAAAAAAACAAAGAATAGAATAAAGCAAATAAAAGCCACGTGTTGTCGTCACCAAAACGTGCTCTGTAAACAAGCTCTGGAACGCATAAAAAAGAGTCGTTGGTGAAAACAGTGTTACCAACTCATGCGTGGGAGTGTGCGCAATTAAAATAAAGTGAATTACTTTCCTAAAATACAGTTTAATTTTTTCATTTAATGCCAACTTTTCAGGTTCCCGGGACCACTGTGCGTCGGTCCAACGTTGGATTGACGTCGAACATCGATTTCAGACGGGTTACCGCTCGTTTTGCCGTCGTCGGTTAAACGTTCGGTTGACGTCGGAAATTAATATTGTTTGCCGACTATGGACCGACGTCTAAAATCGCTTATCGTTTACAGATGATTTACCGCTCGTATTGCCGAAGTCGGTACAACGCTGGGTTGACGTCGGAAATGAATTATCGTTTGGCGACGTTGGACTGACGTCGGATATTGATTATCTTTTGCAAACGTTTTTTCACTAGCTTTACCGACGTCGGTCCAACGTTGGATTGACGTCGAAAATCGATTATCGATTTCAGACGGGTTACCGCTCGTTTTGCCGTCGTCGGTTAAACGTTCGGTTGACGTCGGAAATTAATATTGTTTGCCGAGAATGGACCGACGTCGAAAATCGCTTATCGTTTACAGATGATTTACCGCTCGTATTGCCGAAGTCGGTACAACGCTGGGTTGACGTCGGAAATGAATTATCGTTTGGCGACGTTGGACTGACGTCGGATATTGATTATCTTTTGCAAACGTTTTTTCACTAGCTTTCCCGACGTCGGTCCAACGTTGGATTGACGTCGAAAATCGATTATCGATTTCAGACGGGTTACCGCTCGTTTTGCCGTCGTCGGTTAAACGTTCGGTTGACGTCGGAAATTAATATTGTTTGCCGAGAATGGACCGACGTCGAAAATCGCTTATCGTTTACAGATGATTTACCGCTCGTATTGCCGACGTCGGTACAACGCTGGGTTGACGTCGGAAATGAATTATCGTTTGGCGACGTTAGGCCGACGTCGGAAATTGATTATCTTTTGCAAACGTTTTTTCTCTAGTTTTACCGACGTCGGTCCAACGTTGGATAAACGTCGAAAATCGATTATCAATTTCAGACGGGTTACCGCTCGTTTTGCCGTCGTCGGTTAAACATTCGGTTGACGTCGGAACTTAATTATCGTTTGCCGACAATGGACCGACGTCGAAAATCGCTTATCATTTACAGATGATTTACCGCTCGTATTGCCGACGTCGGTACAACGCTGGGTTAACTTCGGAAATCGATTATCGTTTTTCGACGTTGCAACGCGTTGGACCGACGTCGAAAATCGATTATCGTTTACAGACGTTTTACCGCTCGTTTTGCCGACGTCGGTCCGACGTCGACTCGATGTAAAAAGCGATGATCGGTTGCAGCCTAGCGGCCGACGGACGATTGTTTGTCGGGATATGTATTTATGAAATGTGTAAATCTTAAAAGCGCCAAGCACTACTAAGAAAGCGCCACCTTCCGCCAAATGTCAATGCCATAGATAATAAATCAATGCTAAATAACTGAACAGCTGATAAATATTGAGTAGGTACCAATCAAAATATTTAGTGAAAATTCGTAAATCTATCCAAGTCGCCGCGGTGCCTGCCACCTCTGATCCCTGGATAAATGTCCGGATTTTACCCTTCACCCACGGATTTCTACGGATATTTGACTAGAGAACTCAGGATTTTTCGAACGAAAAGGTTGGCAACGCTGATATATCACAATGTTACCAGACCTATCCATGGTAAACATACATGTATTTAAACCATATATGTAGTAAAATACTGTATTTAAATACATACCATACATACATATGATTTAAAACATCTACCTCTAGTATAAATTTATAGTTGGTAGGTAATGTAGGATGTATGTGGACAGTTAACTTGTCAGTATACTGTATAATTTTTTACCCGCTAGATATACAAAAGTTTATATACAAAAGATGGATAAGCTATAGCTTATAAGTTATAACTTTTTAAAAATATTTTAATAAAAATAGATATTTACAGTACAGTAGGTAACTGTTTCTGAGTAACAAAAAATAGTCATATAAATTTGAAAAAATATCGATATATCTATAGTCAGTTAAAAACTTTCGATAGCTCGATAGTAAAGTTTTATTGCAGGGTTGTGAACCGTAACAAAATTTCGGTCCATGGACCGGTTCGCCAGCGGTTCAGTTCCAAAAAAGGTCCATGTAACCGGACCGTTTGTGGACCGTTTGTGTTGGACCGGTCCAGCAAAAATAGGTTCGACTGAACCGGTCCGTTTTGGAACATTGACAGTGTGGACCGCCAAAAACGGTCCGGTCCACGGTCCATGGACCGGTCCGAACGAACGAAAACGTATCCTCCCAAACGTTTTAAAGGGTGAATGTGGCACGTCAATTTTTATTTGTAAAGGGAGACATTTTATTGTACGACCCCTACGCGCTCTACCCCACCCGCCCTCAAAATCTTAAATTGCACGGGGGTTTAAGTGATATCGTTTTAAAGGTCTTTTAATTCTTAATAAGATACTGAAATTTTCTCATAAATCTGTTGGTCAGTTTTTTAAACTAGGTAAATAAAGAGAAAAACAAAAAAAATTGTTTAATCAACTTTTTTGTGGGTCTCATGGAGCAAATGTGGATTAGGATTGCTCCAAATCTTATAAATGGTGATTCACTAGCTAAAGGTGATTTATTCAATAGCTGTATATACTTGCGGCTTTGCTCGGATAACGTTTTTTCAGCAAACGGTCATTTTGACAGCTCATTTCGGCACCTGTCATTTTGACAGTTTTTATTTGGGCTCCTGTCAATTTGATAGCTGTTATTTGGGCCCCTGTCATTTTATCACCAGTTATTTTTACAACTTATTTTGACAGCTGTCATTTGGGCACCTGTCATTTTATCATCACTAATTTTTATAGCTGTTATTTCCGCACTTCCGCCATTTTGACACCTGCCATTTTGACAGTTGCCATTCGTCACCCTAATATAACAAGGTTGTATGTTAAAAAACCGAAAAATTTGAGTTTATACTTCTACAAGGTTTTATGTAATCCACCCTTGACATACAACTTGAAAATAACTCTATATATATGTATACATAGAATATACATTGTATAGAATTATTTTTAAGTGGTATGTGAAGCGTAGGCCACGTATAATCCTGTAGAAACATAGACATAAATTTTTCGTTTTTTTTAACATACAACCTTGTAATATTAGGGTGACGCATTGTGAACAACGGAAGATGGAGAGAATCACTTTGAGCGTATTTCTCGTTGATTTACAATAATTGTAAAAAAAACATTATTGTTTTTTTCACTTAATTTACTTAATTTTTTCATGAAACGTACATTAAAATTTGTCCCCCTAGAAATAATGTTAGATTTATCATTCCACGTTAGATTTTTATATTTATTTTACCAATTACAAAAAATTTTCAGAAAATAATTAAAATTTTCGGAAAATCGCTTTCTCGTGAATAACTTATTATATTGATAGTATTTAGTTTTTTTTTAATAATTAATCATTAAACATTTCTATAGAAAAAGGTTCGCGATCCCTGGTCTATAGACAGTATTTAAATTAAATTAAGTTTTCAAGTAAACGTCAAAAGGTGTTATATGTTATATGTAATATTACTTTTCAATATAGTCAATTAACAATTTAAAATAAAAAGTGGTAGTAATGAGTAGTAATTTGTTAGTAAAATAGTATATTATCTCGTTTGTAATATGCTTCTTCTACTCCAATTAAGTAATTTGGATTATTGACATAATTTATTATAACCATGCTTTGTCTCGATTTAAAAGATCATTATAGTCGCCCCTTATATAATCAATGGGTCATTTCAACAAATAATTTTTTTTGGGGGGACCCCTTCAGAATTCTTTTAAAATTTTGTGGAATTATTCTCTACATTATAATAATGACTCACTGAAGATTTGAGCTGTTAATATTAACTATAGTAATTATTTTTAAAATTTTGACGATATTTGTTTTTTTAATTTGGTACCCACTGCGCCCACATAAAACCAACTGGAAACCACTACCTGGTACCCACTATGCATACAAACTATCACCTGGTACCTTCTGCGCATAGACACAATAATCTCGTACCCACTGCGCATAGATCAAATCATTTGGTACACAGTGCGCACACATAAAACCACCTGGTACTTACTGCGCATGGATCCAACCATCTGGTACCTACTGCGCATAAAAATAAACCACCTGGTACCAACTACGCATGGAAACCACCAGCTGGTACCTACTGCGCATGGACGTAATAATCTCGTACCCACTGCGCATAGAACAAATCATTTGGTACACAGTGCGCTCACATAAAACCACCTGGTGCTTACTGCGCATGGACCCAACCATCTGGTACCTACTGCGCATAAAAAAACATCTGGTACACACTGCGCAATAATGCGAATACATAATGATTAATTAAAATTTAAATATGTATGTAATACTGTTTAATATGCACGGTCCCTGACAAAAAAACTGTCTTGGACGGCTATCAAAAAACCTGGCAACGTTGCTAAAAGCCATTTCGCCAAATTTTAGAATTTAAAGTGTCCTATTTAAGAAAGAACAATGTCACGGAGGACAACCCGACCTGGCGTGGACGCCATTTATATATACTTATACCAGCACGTAGTGTGTACCTATTACGAAATTATTATATGTATATTATTATATGAAAATTGGGTTTAGAGCAGTTATCCCTTTGCGCACGTTTAAAGTTTCACTTCAAAAATCCGCGACGGACAACAACAAAAAATCTTATTTGGTGGAATGACCCATATAATATATAAAAAAAATCTGACATCTGTTAGTTCCAATCTAAAACATCTGTTAGTTCCAATCTAAAACCCGATTGGTTCAAATCACAGTAATAATAATAATGTCAATAATATGAAATAGGAGTGGAAATAATCTAATAATACAAATGTTTGGACCGGTTCAAAGTGTTTAAACCGGTCCAGTACCGGTCCAAAACACTTGAAAACGGTTCGGTCCAAAATTTGTACCGGTCCAAGTAATTTTAAAAACGGGACGGACCATGGACCGGTCCAGAATTATAACTTGTTTATTTTGGGTACGGACCGTTCCGTAACAAACAAGCGGTTCTTGGACCGGTTCACAACCCTGTTTTATTGTAAACTATCGATATATCGATAGTTCTCCACCTCTAGTTCGGACTCCTTGTGTAGGCTCCATGACTCTGACCATGGAGCCTACTGTCAAATTGACAGTAATATTTATTATTAATAATTTACTTGTTAATTGAAGGGGTCAGAGCAAAAAGGGTATAAGTGCAGAAAACATAATTTTGAGTAATTAGAGGTTAAAGTTTATTGCTATTTGAAAATTCTACAAAATGAAAATATTTTTATTGTTAATGCGTGTGACTAAAAAAAGTAAGTTCAAATCCTATCAATAAAGTAAAATTTTAAAATAAAAATTAGTTTAGCCAAAATTTTAATTTTGATGTACTTATACCCTTTTTACACAAACTGAAAGAGTCGTTTATTTAAAGTTTATCAAAAAAACTAATTTTTTTGTATGTAAACATTTTTATTAATGAAAAACAACTTATTCATAATCTGAATCAAGGTCATGATCATCAAAGTCCTCTTCATCATCCGATTCTACATTATTTGCTCCATTTATAGTATTACTGGCACCTGGTTCTGGTTTAGTAGTTGCTGTTGTGGCCTTTTCTGCTCTCTTTCCTTTAGATTTTTGGTGAATCATGTTTGTGTAAAAACCATGATAAATAGGTGGAATTTACACCAGAAGGCTCTGGAGATTATTCCATTTTTCAAATTTAATAGGCATTGGGGTTTTGCAAAACATGTTAGATTGCAAGTGTTGATTCTAGGGAAAACGATGGACGTCCGGTGGAATGTAATCCGCAAGTACATTTTAAAAATGGGCACAAATCATTAAAAGTATTTTTAAACTCAAATGAAAATCTATATCTTTGCCATACCTGGACAACATTCGTGATATTCATACGAACATCACGTCGTGATTTTCACAAATTTTATTCATAAGGACATCATCCGGATTTATGCCATCGCTGTTTGCGATTGACTGATGGCCTAAATAATCATGTCTTGTTTTTTTATGCCAACGGTGTTTGGATAATCATTTTTGCGCCACGTTCGTACACTAAGAGAAAAATTATGTTGAAACAGTTTTTGCGGTTAAATACATTTAATATTTTCTTGGATTTAAATTAACTATATATAGTAAATTTAAATCTATATTTAAATTTACTATATATAGTAAATTTAAATCCAAGAAAATATTGAATGTATTTATCCACAAAAACTGTTGATTCAATATACAGAGTGGCCCATTTGAAAGCGGGCCACCCTCATAATTTTTTTATTTATGGAGTGATTTTAAGGATTTTTTTTTGAAATGTGGAGGGGGCAAAGGTGTATTTTAGCGGCGTCCAGTTTTTTTAAAAACGAAGGCCTACTAGATCACATTTAGAGGCTGAAAAATGCAGATTCCATATTAGCGATTTTTTTAGAAAAAATCCGCGTACGCCACTGGAATTGGCGTCCTCTGAAATAGATCTATACCAAGTTTCACGAAAAAATATTCAACATTAACGATTCTATGACTAAATTACTGTCAAGTTGTTTATTATCCATTAAGAAGCTTTTTATCTAGTAGCCCATGCGATAATAAATGTTTTACATGCATTAACTAAAATTAATAAATCCCGACTCCACAATCTTAGTCTTAATTAAACATGCTCTAAAAATACAGCTCCACAGGGATGAAAAATATTCATAATAGTAGGCTTTGCAATTACTAAAGTCACAGATGACAAGTCATCTAAATAAAAGACGAAAAGCTAAGTATTGAAATTTACGTACTGTCAATAAGTATGTCTCATAATTTAACGTTACTACATAAGATTGAAATAGTAAAACTTCATGGTGACAGAGACGCAAATGAAAATCTATATCTTTGCCATACCTGGACAACATTCGTGATATTCATACGAACATCACGTCGTGATTTTCACAAATTTTATTCATAAGGACATCATCCGGATTTATGCCATCGCTGTTTGCGATTGACTGATGGCCTAAATAATCATGTCTTGTTTTTTTATGCCAACGGTGTTTGGATAATCATTTTTGCGCCACGTTCGTACACTAAGAGAAAAATTATGTTGAAACAGTTTTTGCGGTTAAATACATTTAATATTTTCTTGGATTTAAATTAACTATATATAGTAAATTTAAATCCAAGAAAATATTGAATGTATTTATCCACAAAAACTGTTGATTCAATATACAGAGTGGCCCATTTGAAAGCGGGCCACCCTCATAATTTTTTTATTTATGGAGTGATTTTAACGATTTTTTTTTGAAATGTGGAGGGGGCAAAGGTGTATTTTAGCGGCGTCCAGTTTTTTTAAAAACGAAGGCCTACTAGATCACATTTAGAGGCTGAAAAATGAAGATTCCATATTAGCGATTTTTTTAGAAAAAATCCGCGTACGCCACTGGAATTGGCGTCCTCTGAAATAGATCTATACCAAGTTTCACGAAAAAATATTCAACATTAACGATTCTATGACTAAATTACTGTCAAGTTGTTTATTATCCATTAAGAAGCTTTTTATCTAGTAGCCCATGCGATAATAAATGCTTTACATGCATTAACTAAAATTAATAAATCCCGACTCCACAATCTTAGTCTTAATTAAACATGCTTTAAAAATACAGCTCCACAGGGATGAAAAATATTCATAATAGTAGGCTTTGCAATTACTAAAGTCACAGATGACAAGTCATCTAAATAAAAGACGAAAAGCTAAGTATTGAAATTTACGTACTGTCAATAAGTATGTCTCATAATTTAACGTTACTACATAAGATTGAAATAGTAAAACTTCATGGTGACAGAGACTCAAATGAAAATCTATATCTTTGCCATACCTGGACAACATTCGTGATATTCATACGAACATCACGTCGTGATTTTCACAAATTTTATTCATAAGGACATCATCCGGATTTATGCCATCGCTGTTTGCGATTGACTGATGGCCTAAATAATCATGTCTTGTTTTTTTATGCCAAAGGTGTTTGGATAATCATTTTTGCGCCACGTTCGTACACTAAGAGAAAAATTATGTTGAAACAGTTTTTGCGGTTAAATACATTTAATATTTTCTTGGATTTAAATTAACTATATATAGTAAATTTAAATCCAAGAAAATATTGAATGTATTTATCCACAAAAACTGTTGATTCAATATACAGAGTGGCCCATTTGAAAGCGGGCCACCCTCATAATTTTTTTATTTATGGAGTGATTTTAACGATTTTTTTTTGAAATGTGGAGGGGGCAAAGGTGTATTTTAGCGGCGTCCAGTTTTTTTAAAAACGAAGGCCTACTAGATCACATTTAGAGGCTGAAAAATGCAGATTCCATATTAGCGATTTTTTTAGAAAAAATCCGCGTACGCCACTGGAATTGGCGTCCTCTGAAATAGATCTATACCAAGTTTCACGAAAAAATATTCAAGATTAACGATTCTATGACTAAATTACTGTCAAGTTGTTTATTATCCATTAAGAAGCTTTTTATCTAGTAGCCCATGCGATAATAAATGTTTTACATGCATTAACTAAAATTAATAAATCCCGACTCCACAATCTTAGTCTTAATTAAACATGCTCTAAAAATACAGCTCCACAGGGATGAAAAATAATCATAATAGTAGGCTTTGCAATTACTAAAGTCACAGATGACAAGTCATCTAAATAAAAGACGAAAAGCTAAGTATTGAAATTTACGTACTGTCAATAAGTATGTCTCATAATTTAACGTTACTACATAAGATTGAAATAGTAAAACTTCATGGTGACAGAGACAGGTCCGGAAGGGAAGTATCTCGAATTTTTAATGACAGACATCCAGAACTTCAAAATATTAGCAAGTCTACCGTTGTGAGAGTGTGCAATATTTTTAATGAATATGGAGCTGTATCCAAACACATTTTAAAAAATATTAATGTAGTACAACGGCCAAGAAGAAGCAATGAACGAATTCGAAATTATTTCATCGAAAATCCGAGAAAAAGTTTAAGAATTGCAAGTTTGGACCTCCAGTTACCACGGGAAACAATAAGGAGAAACCTTAAAAAATACAGTAATACGAAGCCCTTTAAACCAAAATTTCTCCACACCTTAGAAGAAGGTGATAATGATAAGCGAATGGAATATTGCTTATGGTGCCAAGGAGAATACCTTAATGACAGAAATTTTCTAAAAAAGATTTTGTTTAGTGACGAGGCAACATTTACTACCAATGGGACGGTAAATTCACAAAACACGAGGCACTGGGCCCAAGAAAATCCCGAATGGGTAATAAACTGTAAGCGACAATATTCACAGAAGGTAAACGTATGGTGCGGTATATTAAATACCAGAATAATTGGCCCCTTCTTTTTTGAAGGCAATTTGAATGGCCAAAGTTTTTTAAATTTTTTAAACAATGAATAATGAAATACTCTTCATTTGATATATGGGGCAAAATTTGCTAAGTGTACCAGGTGGAAAAATTTTTGTCACCGATTTTGTTTAAACTTTACTTATTTGTTGTTCTTATAACGAAGAATCATAGCATAAAAATTTTTTGCTCTAGGATTGTTCATTCAAGAGTTATGGATTATTGAAATTTATCGATTTATTACTTTTTGGTGAAATCGCTTTTTATTTAAAAATTCATAACTTCTGTTCATCTCTTTATTGAATATTTTAATTTAACCACCTTAAATGATTTTTTCCGTACTTTTCAATGGGCTATACCGTTTTTGCAACAAAAAAAAATTTGCAATTTTTTTTTGAAATTTTGCAATATTTTGCATTTTTTTAAACAATGTGTATTTTTTATTTTTTTTTAAATAGCATAAAATCGAAGTTTATTATGTTACCTTTAAATAAAAAAAAAATTTAGAGTGGGCCCGACATGTAGAAGGGAAGTTTTTCATATTTGAATGCGTGCGGGTCTAGCCATCGAATAGCTACTACACTGCCGTATGCGTTTATACCTACTAGATGCGAGTAAACGAATACAAAATGATAATTTAAAATGTAAAATTATGTTTGAGTAGTCAATGATATATTTTAAGTATTTACACTGCCGCACGATATAGTTTTTTAACTGTATTTTTTTGCACAAATTGTTTAAGCATGGGTCTACATAGATTTCGCAAGGAGGATCGATGATATTAAATAAAAAATGTATTGTTATAACCGTAACGGCTTGCCTATAAGCTGAATAGGTCAATGGCGTTAATAATATATAATGTCTATAAACGGTTTTTGCTGTCATGACGAGCTCTAAACATTCGCCGTACGGACATTACTTACTTTTTAAACCGTAACGGTCAGTCAGAATAATTGTGTTGCCAATCGGCAGATTAAAATATGATTTTTTTTAATTTAATTAATTACAGATTAAAATATGATTTGTAGATTTCGTAATTCGGAGGATATTTGGCGAATATTACTAGAATAATGTTAATTTTTATTTTTGTGGCTAAAGTAAAATACAGAAAGAATAAAGTGTTGGTGTTGTTTTTCTTCAATTTTTCGCCCTACCATACTAATTTTACATTTTAAATTATCATTTTGTATTCGTTTACTCGCATCTACTAGGTATAAACGCATACGGCAGTGTAGTAGCTATTCTATGGCTAGACCCTCACTCAT